AATACTCGTTTTCAACGACCAAACTAACTCTCAGTTGATTTCCTCTTTCTATACAATTGTAAATTGTGTTAATTTGAAATAATTCACCTGATCATACAATAGCCTATATCGATAGGTCTTTCTACGTTTGCCTGGATTTCAGGATGATGTAATCATTGTGACAGCCACAAAAAATTGAGAAAATACATGTTCAAGCGAATTTCTACCACTTTTAAAACAACAATATAAATACATTTGAAAAGCTAACGGTTTATCTCATATTTTCAATATATTTCTAGTTGTCCACACATTAAGTTATCGATGAATCAACTTCAGGCGCTACTCAACTTAATAGATACAAATCCAACTACTGGTTAGTGTAAATAAAGCGTTAAAATCTGTATATTCAGATGTAGTCTTGATTTGTTTTCGTTGTATAATAAACCTTCATCCTAATCCTTTACTTTTTTCTTACATCGATCCATATGGAATTTCTGTCCAGTTATAACCATTCTTTTTCACTTTATCAGTATACGCACTTACTGTTGCACAATAGTAAGTGTCATGATTTACTCTGAAAAGACTGGATGAATACAGTTAGAAAGTTAATGAATATATATCACATCCAATACAAATTCTATCTATACTACTATTTAAAAATCATTAATGTAAGCTTGAAACTTCTCAAGATTTAGAAACATGGTAATTTAGTATGTGCTGCTTATGCTGCTGACAGATATAAGTAGTATGTAACAGCAATCGTAAGTGGAACGCCTGTCAGGAGAAGATTGGATTGAAGAGAACAGAAAAAGAATCAAAAAGCGATTGGAATAACAACAGAATTGGAAGAATCTTGAAACATGTAAAGGACAACTGAAAGAAGATGTGAAAATAATGTATTTAATGTATGATTATCATATTTTATGAAATCGCTATGTAATTCCGCACTTTAACAATAAATTAGTTATCCCCACATGATTTTTCGTTCACATCAGTATCCGTAACTTCTTTTAAAATATAAACTTTAAATTAAATTAATCAGATGTAAACACTTCCATTAAGTCAGATATTGGATATTTTGGTTGATAGTCATTTTTTCAGGGATTAAGAAGGGACTTGGTGAGATTTTATTCGTTCCAGCTTGGCACAGAATCGGAAAAAAATTTTCATATCTTACAATTAATACAATATCTTTAAATCAGTCAGTTAGAATCCAACTCTCCAGATGTTTAACTTCAATCCACTAATCCTTCATTTTCAATACTTTTACAATTCATACCAATTTTATGGTTTATATCATGGAGTGACCTCACTTAGACAACCAATGAGATATAGGAAGCACTGGACAGCTGTTTTGTCCAAGTACGAGACTCCTACCACAGATCGAACCTACGACCTTCAGGTCTTGTCTCGAGCTATTAAGCTTCAGACAACTAGGTCGGTATATAGTAGTTTATATTTCTGACTTCAACCAGTTCGTCAGATTGATAAGCGATCTTACAGTGGTACTGATGGGCAACTGCCTCACATCCGATATGGATGAAGTTCACTACATTTCGTGAAAGTGCCTCTCAAAACTAGTTACCATTGAGCACATGATTATAATTGGTATGTGAATTAATGGAAGTTGAGCACGAAAACTATTGGATGAGAGCTCAATGGTCTAAGTGTATGGCTCCCTGATTCTGAGTTTCTTCCTCTATGAAAAAGTGAATACACATTGTCGAGGAGTTCCATACCAAAAGGAAGTAGCCCCTCAATGGTCCCGGTTTTTAATGGTTATCTAACTAAGAATTGTTCGTAATATAAACTAAATAATCTAAAATCACTATGGGGATTCGTAGAGATCGTAGTATTTTAATAGTTGAATTCACAAGTCAATCTAAGCTAGACCACCAATAAAAACCTGAAAGCACTGGACGGCCATTGAATGCTGGCTCAACGTTCTGGAGGTTAAGCGTTCGAGAGCGAAATCGAAGATATCGGGTTCGAGTCCTATGTATGGGATCATAGATGCGCACTGCTGAGCAGTTTGATACTATGATGAAACGGCCTTTCAGTACTTCTAGGGCTTTCAGTAGTGGTCTAGCTCAGATTGATTAGGGAATTCAACCGTTAAATTACTACGATCTCCACAAACCCCTTATACCAATAATGCTTGCTTGTTAAAACGTTTCCAATTGTAATTATCTTAATATTTAATTATTTTTTATGCCCGATAAGAATAATGGGTGGTAATTTTTGAGATCTATTTGTGGACCAATACTATACGTATATTTTACCGTATAATTGTTAATTAACTAAACTTTTCTTATCGATTAAGTGTTTAAATATTCAATGACAGTCGATTGACTAACTTATCGATTCAATGTTTAAAAAAACTTCCATGGCAATATCGATTATATGGATATAATTGATATATATACGTTTTGAATTGTGTTTGTTATTATCGCTCATTTTCTGGCTGTTTGCAGAATATACTTTCCCATTCGAAGCTTGGACTTCTCCCTCTAGTTAGCGGGGCTGGAACGCATCAAGTAGCTAGCTTACTGGTCTTTGGTCACTGAGTCTTTGTTCTCGTTCGCAGATTAAGTGAACTTGTGATAGCTTCAAATCTAGCATTATTAGTGTACAGTAACTATAATTCATCTTTATCCTTAACTATACTTGATATATCGAGGAATAATACAGAAAAGTGCAAATTATAATAAACGAAAATTCAATGCATTGTCAATATGATTTATTCTCTGAATCTCTACTACGAGTTCAGTTGATTATACCTTCAGTATTTTGCAATACTATCGTTATTGTTATTGTTGTTATGCATTAAAAAAACAGACCGTAATAAAATTTAATTATCATTATACAATTATTCACTAAGTCCACCATTTTAATACATTAATCACTGTGATTAGGGTGCAAGTACTTTAATGGTCGACACATCGATTTTAATAATGATGCTTTCTAATATTATTAGTACGTAACAATTTGTATGATAAGAAAGCCTTTGAGATTCATTTTAACTTTTAGACAAATAAATTGGTATAATCTTTGCAGTGGTTGTATCACAAATATATTTGCCGTTGTCAAGCATTTACTTGTAAACTTAATCATTTTTCTTATGTGTACGTAGTGATATTATAGTGAGTAGAATACAGTTGAGAACGACCGAATTGTATTATGCACGCAATTTCAGAGTTACTCAATAAAATAAAATAAAACCATATAGTAAATTGTTAATTTGCAAAATATCAATGCATCATATCAACCTGAACTGTTCCTGTTGCAAACATCAATCCATTGTCTCACATTTTATTGTTCATGCGTTTTCTTACAAATTGCATCGTGTTTTCGCTCTTCCTTTCTTTATCTTCCCCCATCTTCTGCTGCCAGCCATTACGTTTTAACTCGCGTCATATACTACTTACATCGATATAAGTAGCACGCACCACAATATGTATACGTCTATCGCCTTCTTGTAGTTCATGCATGACGTGTAAAAACTGAGTGACTATTTAGATGGTAGTTGGAGGTAGTCAACAGGAAACCCTGGACCCGGGTTTCGTGCTACTTGGCACTCGTCAGCAAGGTGTACCTGCAATCTTGAGGGAACTGGTGCTCCCTGGCGGATTTGATCTCGTGTCACCCAGCTTCACTGTCAGAGACGCTACCACTGAGCTATCCGAGCCGTGACTAACCTCCTGTAGGACTGAGATGTAATCACAATTGATTGATCACTGGGTGGTGATCAATTTCATGCTTGTCTATTCCTTATTAGTGGAGATCGAATGATATCGATCATGTTGCAATGTGGCCACCAGTCTAGGTGACTCGACACTGCGGGCACTATGTATTGATATTTAGATGGTAGTTGGAGGTAGTCAACAGGAAACCCTGGACCCGGGTTTCGTGCTACTTGGCACTCGTCAGCAAGGTGTACCTGTAATCAATATTAATACATAGTGCCCGCAGTGTCGAGTCACCTAGACTGGTGGCCACATTGCAACATGATCGATAGCATTCGATCTCCACTAATAAGGGCTAGACAAGCATGACATTGATCACCACCCAGTGATCAATCAATTGTGACTGAGTGACCATGTTATTTATTGAGTAGGTGTATTACTAAACTTCAATTATTGCATCATCCATTTTTTTGTCTGATGCTCAATATGAGAACGCATAAAATATACATATCCTAAATACAGTTCGTATTCAACTTTAATTATCTATATTGTGTCACTGCTGTTCGTTAACGGGATGTATACAAAATAAGTAGAATATACATTTCATTACCATCAATATAGTTCAGTCATTGCGGAGTCAACAACGAGCATTGAAAGCATCTGTAATAGGTATTGAACCAGTTAGCTTAACAAAAAAAATGGTCATCTATCAGAGTTAGAGAATTCTAAAAGAAATCACAAATAATATGCACAATTTAGTACGGTAGGGAACTTTGTTGTAATTTAAATTTCTAAGTGGCTACGCCTGTTCTTTTAGGTCATATTAGTATAAGATTATCATATATCCTTTCTCTAACACTTTAACCATTCAATATCATGATAATGATGACACTGAAATTTACTTTCGATTACCAACAACAGTATAATACAAACCCTTAAGAATAAAATTCATACCTATTAACTAAATTATTAGCTATTTAGACTCAATAGTTCATTGGATAAAGCGTTGGTATATGGAGCGATAGCTACTGAATTCAAATCTCATCATGAACATTAACATTGAGATCCACGAACACTAAACTAACAAGTCTTAAATAGGACGAAACTTATGTCTATTTCCGTGCTCATCACAGACCACACATACTAAAGCTTATGACAAAAAGGTCATACCGCAGCAATCTTCATACAATAAAATAATAGTATAGTGTTTCTCACTTCCTCTGCTACACTTGTAACGTACGTAATTAAGAAAATATCAAAGACCAGAACAATACACCTAGATCAACATCCTGTCAATAAATTTATGAAAATAAATCGACAATCATTTGTCGAAAATGAGCAATAACATTAATTTATTTACAGCATATACATATACATATGACCTGAGCATCAATAATAGTTTTCGACATTTTCCACAAAACTGTACAAAATGAATCAGAGATTATATTCTCTTATTTTCAACTTTAGTTTATTTTCAAGTAACAAAAATTAAAAAAATAAATAAATAGTTCAATCATTAATATCAAAATTAAATTAAATGATAGTTTGTTTTTTTTTTGTTTTACTTAACTATACATATAAGGCGCACAAAAGTGACTTGATAATGTATTGAAACAGTAGAATATATTCAACGTTGAAAATTTGTCGACATTGCACTGAATTTGATTAAGTTATTATTACTATTACCACTTCGATTACTATTACTATCAGCATTGATAGTAATATTTTTAGTCGTTTTAATATGACTGTTATTATTGTTATTATTATTATTATTACGTTTTAATGATTTCAACTGATTAACTTTATTCGTTTGACTTAGTGGTCTTGTAATAGAATTAATAGATAGTTTATTAATTTCTGGCATTGAGCATTGATCCTTTTGTTTTATATATTGATGTTGATAATGAATTAAATTGCCAACAAATGAATTCTTTGAATGATTATGAATACTTTTAATAGTTAATGCATTTTTCTCATTCATATTTGATTGAATAGAATGATGTTTCATGTTTAATCTTGTTTTATTTAATGGACAATTATTATTCATATTAATATGTTGATGAATTTGTTTACCAAATACAAATATTGTTTGATTTTCTTCTTTAGAATGATTTGATAAATTTATATGATCATTTATTGTTATACTATTTATTAATGATTTTTTATTGATTATTTCTGGAAGTGTCATTTCACAAATGGAATTATTGATTTTACCAATAAACTGATGATACCAATTTGATGATTGTATCATTCCACAATTAATTATATTAGATAATTCTAATTCTTTATAAAAATCTAAAATTCTATCTCTTTCTTCTATTGTAATTTGTATACCATCAATAATTTGTAATTTTGGTATATAATAAATTAATATTAAACGATGAATTTGGTTTGTTGTAATTGGATTATCAATTAATGAAATTTCATATAAATTTGGTTGATTTTTAGCAAAATTTTCTAAATCATTAAAATTAGTTAATTTATTGGCGCCAACATATAAGCGTTTTAAATTTTCTAATTTACTTAATTGATTTAATTCATTTAATAAATTATTTTCTAAATGTATTTCATTCAATGTCCAATTATATAAAAATGTTAAATCATTTATAAATTTAATTTTATTATTATCTAATACTAATTCTTTTAATTGATTAAGACCTTCTATACCATTTAATGTAATTAATTCATTATTTTGTAAAAATAATGTTTGTAAATTAGACATACGATGAAATTGTAATTCTTTTAATGAATGTATATTATTATGAGCTAGATGTAATACAGTTAAATAAGGATAAATTGGTTGTTTTGATTTATATAAATTAATAAAATGTAATTCAATTGGATTCATTTTTTGATTATGATTATGATGATCATTGATAGCTAATGTATAAATATAATTTGAAAATAAACTTTCTATATTATTATTATTTAAACATATAATTTGTAAATTTTTAAAAAATAATAAGCCGCCAAATGATTTTAAATAATTTTTTTCTAAATTAATACATTTTAAATGTATTAATTGATTTGGATCAATATAATCAATTTTATATAACATACATTGAGATAAATTTAATTCAACAATATTAATAAATTGATCATGATTTAAATAATTTAATAAATATTCATAAGATAAATGACCATCATATAATTCATTAGATTTCATTAAATCATTCATTGTAATGATATAACCATCAATTGATTTAATTGATTTTAAATAATAAATTAATTGATAAAAATAATTATTATTAATTAAATCACATAATGGATTCCCATATAATTCTAAAATATTTAAATGTAATAAATGTTTTAAATGTAAAATATTGATAAAATGTTTTAATTGATTATTACCAAGATATAATTCAATTAATTGTTGACAATAATCAATACCATCAATATTATCAATTTGATTATTATTTAAATTTAATTTCGATAAATTCAATAATGATTTAAATTGTAATTTATTGATTTTTTTAATTTTATTATTACTTAATAATAATGATTGAAGTTTAATTAAATGATCAATATTATCAATCGATTCAATTAAATTATATTCTATTGATAATTCAATTAAATTAATACAATGAGTTAAACCTTCAATTTTTTAATAAAATTATAATTTAATGAAAGATATTTTAAATTTGTTAAATGAGTTAAATTTTCGATTTTATATAGATTTAATGATTGTAAACATAATGATGTTATAAAATGAAAATGATTTAATTTATTTATAGATTGAATTGTATTATTATATAAATATTGATTATAATGATGATAATAAGCAATAGGGAATATAGTTAAATTTTGATCAAAATCATTATTATTACATTGAATATCATTTTTATATACATTTTCAATCATATTTGATGTGATTATAGATGAATTGTATAATTCATTAGCTAATTGAATATCATCATTATTAATTAATTGAAAATTAAAGAATTTAATTGTAGTTAATTTATAAAGTGTATACATTTTTATGAATTTATCATTATTCCATGGATTATAACGCCATGATAATTTTTCTAATTTTGGTGTATTTAATAATAAAATAGATACATTTTCAATAATACATGTTAATTGATTATAATCAACTTGAAGTTCAATAAGATTAGGCATATATCCTAATGATTCTAATGAATTTAATTGATTATGATTAATAATTAAAGTCATTAAATTATTATTATTATTATTACATGGAATGAATGCTAAATTATCTAGTTGACAATGAGTTATACTTATATAAGTAAGATTAGAAAAATCAAAAAATTGTAATCTTTTTGTAATTTTAAAATCAATTATAAATAAATGAGTATGATCTAAATAAAAATTCATTGAATTATGTAATAATTCATTATGATTTAAAATTTCATTTAAATGATCTAAATGATTACGATCATCATTGATGATGAGAATACAGAGATTGTTTTGATAAAATTTTGATCCATTTTTATTTCTTCATCAAATTTGTCAAAATGATTATTGAATTCATAATTAGTTTTCTATATTGAATGAATCTAATATACAATTAGATTGATTATTTTTTAATATATATTCTAATTCTACAATATATTCTGGATAAAGTAATTTATTTTGAAGTGATCAGGTTTTTTGATTTGTGAAAGACAATAACAATTTGATTGATTCTCATAAAGTAAACTATTTTCTACAGATAGTTGATCTTCTTGATTATCATTATTATTATTATCATTATTGTTGTTGTTACTAAGGTTAGGATGAGTTAACTTAGATACTTTCATTAATAGTAAACGTGTGACATGATCATAAGGATTGAAATTACCTTCAGAATAATATTGATTTATAACTTGTAAATTTTTATTATCTGCTATATTTAAATTATTTGTCACTTTGTATTGATTATTGATTTGTAAACCATTACGAATAATATTCATGTATAATTTTAATTCATCAATTTTTTCAGGACATACAATAAATAAATAATCAGAAAATGTTGAATATTTAATCGATTGATTATTGATTGATGATTTCAAATTTTTCGTAGAACTCTTATTATTATTATCATTTTCATTAAATATTCTATTATTGATTTTATATAAATGTAAAATTTTAATTCCATTGATTATTGATCCATTCATATGATGATAACAAAATCTAGAATTAAGAAATTCATTACAATCAATAAATAAATGATCATTATTATTGATCTCTTTTATTTCTATATAACCAAACATTTGTAATTCTAAATCATAAATATGTTGTCGAAAATGTAAATGTTCTTTTAATCTATTACATAATAGATTATATTTGCATTGATATTTATCATGAATATTTTCCCAATAATTAATTTTTTGATTTAATTGATCAATTCGATTGATTGAAATGGAATGATCATATATAGTATTGATGTTTTCTTGTTTCTTTATTGCATTTTGTAATAATCTTATTGCTTTATCTATATATTGAATATGAATATAAATTTTATTCTGTAATTGATTAAATAATAAATTTAATGAATTTATTTTTTTTTCAATGATTGATTGATCATGTTCATATTTCATCATATAATAATATTTTTTATGTTGTATCATTGTTTTAATGGTATCTTTTAAATCAATATAATCAATATAAATATGATCAATATAAGATAATTGAGGTAATCGATACATTAATATCATTGGTAAATTCATATTATAACATAATGGATTTTTATTATATTCTGGTTCATTAATATTTATTTTAGTTAAATAAGGTAATTTATTTAATAATAATAAATCATTAATATTCCATAATTGATTACCAGATAATGAAATTTCTATTAATTTTTGATTAAATAATAAATTTTCATTTAAATTCATAATTAAATTACCAGATAAATTTAATTGTTTTAATAATTTTAAATGATTTAAACCTTCAATGATATGAATTTGATTATTATTTAACCATAAATATTCAAGTTGTTGATTATTTGTTAAATTTTCAATTTTTTTAATATTATTATCATATAAATATAATTCAATTAATTGTTTACATGAATTTAAATTTTCAATTTTTTCAATAAAACATTCACATAACCATAATTTTTTTAAATTTGGACATGTTTCTAATTTAGTTATTTTAGTAATATTTTGTGATATTATATATAATTCAGTAAGAAATGGAAAATTTTGTAATGAAATACATTTTTTAAAATTATTAAATAATAAAAATAATTTCTGATTTAAAAATTGTTCATCTTGATTTAAATTTTCATATTGTATTCCATTAAGAAAATATATTTCATGTAAAATATTTAAAGATTCAAGATCCATTGAATATGTAATTTAGTTTTATTTTGTTTTGTTTTAATTATGACTAGAAAATATCATGAAACATTTGAAATTTCTTTCATGATTATTAACTATTCATCATTTTGCTTCTCATTGTTATTGATAATAATTCAAATGAATATGAATTAGATGACTATGTATATTTAGAGTTTGTTCTTGGAAGAAGGTATGCTAAAACAAAAATAATAATAATAATTAGACAAAAAAAGAATTATCATGAATGAAACTTTGTAAGATGTATTGTTATATAATAAATAATTTATTCTATTTAGATTCAATTTATTAGGGTATAGTGTTGAAAATTTTCCTAATCTGAGCATAATTATGATTAGGAACCAAAAGATATTTTAATATATTCAAAGACTAACATTATAGCTCCCTCATAACTAACCTGTTATAACTTATGACCTGTGTGTCCTCTTAATGTATATGTAATGATACCGTCAATTAGAGGACAGTGAATTATCGATCGGAACAGTGATGCATAAAACAAGCACGAGCAGCCTAGAGTCCTTATCGGTCCTGCTTCCTGACTAGCCCTGTCTGTTAAGTCCACTACACGAGTCTCAGCCTCTGCAATATGAATCATTATATTTCAAACATATTGAGTATATATACTAACCAAACAGACCACATCGCACCATAAAATAGGAAACAACATTTGTACAAGAATTAGCCAAATGTGGCTGTGGATGTGGGAGATAGTAATAAATAGACAGACCATAACTCAAGAATGGTAAATCGTATAATAATAGTTCATAGGTCAAAATAAAGCTCACAATAGTTTAGTTATTTAACAATTATACGATAAAAATATACCCACAGTACTAGTCCATAAATGAATCCCAAAAGTTACCATTCATTATGCATATCGGGGCATAACATATCCAAAATACCACAAAAATGTTAGTTGTGCACGTGTGAAACTTAAGAGAACTCCCTATATGCGTCAAGTTAGTGATAAAATATAAAAATGCGGTGAGACTATAATTTATGAACGACTTTGAGCGACGCTTGACTAACCTTGATAGTGTCCACCTAATAAATAGGACCAAATGAGGGTTATAAATCTGTGTGAGGATTTTGAATTGTGATTTACAGTTGATCGTAAAGGTTAGGAATTATATTTAAGGTTTTCGTCACGAACTAACATCAGTTATAATGCCAAAACCCTATTTTGCTAAACTGATGAGTGAATTTTGCGCCAAAATCCGAGACCTGTTATCTTATACCTGATTGGTCCGTCCATAAATTATAGTCCCGCCAAAACTGCCAGTCAGTATACTATTTATCAATAATTACGTTATTGTGTAAATAAGTGTATACTTTCGTCGCCTGTAGTGCAACTGACTTGTCCATCTAACAACTAAGGTGTGAATATGTTTCACATCAGTTCAATCTATTTCATTTTATGGCTGCAAAACGCATCTTTCACAAGTAGAGCACATTCAAAGGCCAGCAGTATCTGACATCAACTATCCTTGAAGTATTGCCTGTATATGTTTGAACCACCAAGTAAGCAAATTAATTTAAACCTTTTATTCTACAAGTTAATCCTTTCGGTGAGACTGTAATTTGTAGACGAATCAATTAGATTTAAAACGGTGAAACTGGGATTTTAGAGCATAACACACTCATCCATATGGCTCTACGTGACGTCATTTCGTGATTAAAATTCTATCCCCAACTTTAACTCTTAACTCTACTTCTTGACCTTAACTGTTAGAGACCTTAGATGACATGGCTCGAAATCGTTTGCAATGAAGCAGATGCATCGATTCCTTGTCTCTCCCTACAATTCCAAGCTTTTGAATTCCTCACAATGTTTTTGTTTTTACTAATTTGTATTCTCTTAAATGATATCTTCGATCCATAACCTTTTCTATCACTACTCATATTGTTGCCAGCTCTAATAATTTGGGATTTCTCTTGACAATTTCATTTCTCTATTCTAGTCGGGTTCAACAACTATAATCGATGCATATATGTACTAGGTTCTAAGTTGAAACGGACTGACTGGTTCAAAAGCTGTGTATGTTCATAGCGCTTACAATATTAAGGAAATTTCTCTGTAATCTCCCATTAACCTTTTCCTCCCATGGAATAAGTGGTGGGAACTAAGGATCAATCTGGACTAGTAGCTTTTACGAGTTTACAAGGGATTTTTAGACGTCAAAGAAGCTTTACCCCACCTGAACTAATAAAATGTAGAATGTTTTTTAAATCGGCACCCAAATCTTGCAAATCTCCTTTTTGTGGTGACAATAATATACGTACATGCATTACTTGGTGACATATGTTCAAGAAATCATATTCTCACTTCATTGTATTATGTTAAAAGGACATGATAGTTTTTCTGTGGATAGTTCACACAAATCAAAACTTCAAAAAATTTCCACTAGCAATTATGTTAATTACAGTAGTATGTGTATAAATTTCACACACGTGGCTAATTATGATTTCAATTTAATAGTTGAAAAATGGATACATTTCAACTCAAAACGTTATTTACAAAGCTAAATATTGCCTTTAGAGGTCGAGAGCTATTCAGTTTTATTCACTGTAGATCGTTAAAAATATAAAATCAGAAGCTTTCAAGCTTTCATGAAATTATTTGCTTAGATCGACTAATAAACCCTGTTTTTGATGGTCACAAACATAATCTAAGAGAATGCATTAGAATCCACAGTTTGTAATAATTCAACGAATAAACATCAAGATTAAGAAACAGAAAATAGATGGTGTCTTCCAACCTATTTCAAGCTTCACAAATATATTTGTGTGTTTCAAAAAAGAGAAGTGATTTAGCACTTGTTGTGATTATCTTTGCTTTTGTGTACTTGTTGCATCAAAAAGCATTCTTGGCCTACTTTAATTTGACGCATTTCGGTTAAGGTTTGAAATTTTGCTAAACTTTGTCTTGTGGTACTTTCTTTCCCGTCGATTATGACACTTGTGTTTATGTTGCTTTAAACATTCTTAATCTGATTACAATGGTTGGCAGTACTTATAAATGCGGACAACCAAATTGTTTATTCCCCGTGTGGGAAGGAATGCAATGCGATAAGTGCAAAAAGTGATCCCATAAAATGTGTACCCGTTTAAGTCCCAACACATACAAAAGATTCTCGAAGCTTAACTTGAATTGGATTTGTATTTTTTGATGTGCAAATAAACTATGAGCCTCTCAGCTTTAGCCCACAAGAAGAAAGATGGTTGTTGCGCTGGTAACACGAGTACTGACAGTGAAAAATGAGTCAGTGTAGTACGTGCTGTTTTGGGACGTGTTAAACACCCCGACTGTGATTGACAGAAAAGTAAAGTCTCCGTTGAAACTAACAGGAAGTGAAGTGCCACTTGATAACGATATGGATGATCATGCTTCTATAGTAGAACTTGAAGACTCGGATAAAACCGTCACCGTTCCTAATAGTTCCTATATGGCTGTCCTAAGTGACGAAAAACGGACGACAGTACAGAGACAAAGTGAAAGGAAAAAATTTATAAGTAGCACCCACTCGGTTGACAAGTCAGTGGTGAACTTCCATTCTGAGTCACAAAATACACTATTAAAGTCTGGTAGTAAGGCAGAACTTCACCCTAGTGTGGCTGAGAAGAATTCAATATAATCGAATATTATTAAGGAATTTGCTAGAACCAAACGATCCTGATCCAGAATTAGACACGCGCGTAAGTTGGAAAGACTGGAGAATTTATCGATAGCATCTTTCTAGAAAACTCCAAAGGATTTCATGTCAAAAAATTGATAAGAATAGATAAGAAGACAGAAGACGGTGTTGAATGCCGACCATATAGACTCCTTGAGGTGATCCTAGGGTCGGGGAAGCAACGTGATATTCTGTTAAGTAGTGCTCTTAGTCACGACAATACTGACATTCGAGTAAGACCTTATATGTTTCTAGAATAAAAAAAACGGTACAAGCAGAAATAAAAACTCGTCGAAAAAATGGTGAGGAAAATCCCCGCTTAGTGGGTTTTCGAGCAGTCAGATCTCGGGAGCGGATGATACCGAGGCCTGTGTGGGTAAGTCGTACTCCCTAGGAGTTTTATATGCAAATGCTCGTAGTCTAAGGAATAAACTCTATGAACTAGGAGCATTAGTAGACAAATTAAGGCCACTCATTATAGCTGTGATGTAAAATTGATCCGTCCATGAATTCGACACTACTCCAAAATTATCCGGATACCACTACCTAAGAAGCGATAGACATAGATGTAGGAAAGGTGGCTTCTTTTTATACATAACCAATAATATACGCATCCGCTTCTTTGCTTGCGAATCCCATGACGGTGAAACTTGTGAAGCCATTAGCTATGAGCTCACTATCGGATGCTGCACATCTATACTCGATGTCATTTATCGCAGTCCAATCTGCTTAGCTGATGGCTTTATGTCAGAACACGTTCATTTATGAAGTGCAAATAACAGATGCTTGATATTAGGATACTTTAATGCACCTGATATTAATTGGACTGAGATGGCCAAGGTAAGATCTTTAAACTCCTTTGGTAGTAGGTTTCGAATAACAGTAATGGACCATGCATTAGTAGAGCATTTATCTGAACCATACGTTTTGGTTCAAACCAAGGTTCTTCTTTGTTATACTTGGTAATCACTTATGCGACTGAGGATATTGCCAATCTAAATATTCTTCCACTGTTAGCGAATAGCAATCACGCTGTTTTGTCATTCATGTTTAGAGCTTGTGACATGATATGCGATCAGGTTAAGCCTAGCCCAAATGTATGAAGAGCTAACATGTCAGCCATTCAGGGGTGTATTGCTAAAACAGATCGGTCAGTAGATACTAGCTCATCAGTTGAAGAAGCACGGTCTATATTTAAAGGCAAGTTTGTTTCAGTCACGTCCTCGTTCAAAACATACCTGGTTCCACGTAGATCGAATAACTATCCACCATGAAGAACTAAACAAGTCAAGGAACTTCTTAGATGTAGAAAAAAGGCATTAGAAAATGTTCATTTCTACTAGCTTCAAGCAGTACAGATCCAGCCATTGTAAGACCAGGAATGCTTGTAAAACGATAACAAGTAAGACTAGACAGTTATATGAAAAACAATTGGTTAGGGATTATAAAAATAGTCCGAAACGGTTATTCTCGTGTATAAAAAGGTGAACTCAGAGAAGTGATGGATTTTCATCACTTTTGGTACAAGAAAGTTAGTTGATATTGGCAAGAGATGATTCTGAAAAACCTGAATGTTTATCAGAATATTGTAGTAAAGTGTTTTCTATTAGCAATGAGGAACGACCAACGATTCATTGTGATTGGAGCGGCTTGTTAATGGATCCTGTAGTTATTGATAAAGGTACTGTCTTAGGACTACTTCAACATCTCAAACTCGATACATCCAATGGTCCTGACGATATTCATCCTGAAATTATGAAAGCCCTATTGGATGTAATTGCTGAACCAATAGCCATCCTGTTTGATTCGTCTCTGCGGCAGTCTAGACTTCCAAGAGACCGGAAAGGCTCAATAATTAGTCCAATGTATAAGGTGGGGAGTAGATATTTAGTTAGTAACTATCGACCCTTTAGTCTAACTAGTGCAGTTGTCAGACTAATGGAAAACATTATTCAGATGGCTGTTATAAACTCATTTCCGTTGGTATCTGACTGGTCTTCCCGGTCTCCCACATTGTCCGGACGTTCCATGTACCCATAAAAATTGTTAGTCTGGTTGTCAGAAGTGACATTGGTCTCGTGACTTCCGGAAAAACTCGGTTTTCACCATGAGGTGTCATAACTCTCATAAATGAAGACCTCCAAATATCCAGGGCAGAGTTTAAATGGTTTGAATTATTTTTTCTGGTCAGCGTTGTTTGGCGAGTTGGTTTTTTACCGGATGGGGTCGCTAACCCCATGCTTAACCCTCCTCCTTTACACGGGCTCGGGACCGACAGTAATTCTAGAAGAGCTACAGGTGGACTTGAAATTCAAGAACAGATGGGTAGATTACTTTGAGGAACTCCTGAATAGACCAGATCCATTGAATCCACTGGACATCGAAGCAGCACACACACAACTTCCTATAGATGTCAATTCACCAACAACGAAAGAAATCAGGGTGGTCATCAGACAAATCAAGAGCTGGAAAGCAGCAGCACCTGACAATATAACGGCTGAAGCACTGAAGTCAGACATCGAAGTAACTACAAATATGCTCCACCTTCTATTTAAGAAGATTTGGGAGGATGAACAAGTGCTAACGGACTAAAATGAAAGACACCTCATCAAGATTCCAAAGAAACGAGATCTGAGCAAATGTGAAAACTACAGAGGCATCACACTACTGTCAGTACCAGGAAAATTCTTTAACAGGGTTTTGCTAAGCCGGATGAAAGATGCAGTAGGCGCCCAACTTCCAGATCAACAGACTGGATTCCGTAAAGATCGGTCGTGCACAGACCAAATTGAGACACTACGAATCATCGTCGAACAATCAGTTGAGTGGGACTCGTCACTATGAATCAATTTCACTGACTATGAGAGGGCGTCTGACAGTGTAGATAGGAGAACATTATGGAAACTTCTTCGACACTATGGAGTTCCTGAGAAGATTGTCAATATTATCCAGAACTCATACAACGGACTACAGCGCAAATTCGTGCATGGAGGACAGCTGATAGATGCATTCCAAGTAAGGACCGGGGTCAGACAAGGCTGTCTACTCTCCCCCTTCCTTGTTCTTCTGGTAGTCGACTGGATTATGAATACCTCGATATCGGAGAGGAAACACGGAATACAATGGACAGCTCGGAACCAATTAGACGATTCGGACTCCGCAGATGGCCTATCCCTACCACCCCATACACATGAACAAATGCAGGTGAAGACAACTAATGTAGCAGCAAGCTCTGCATCAGTAGACTCCAGCATACACAAAGGAAAAACCAAGATCCTCAAATACAACACGGAGAACACTAGCTCAATCACACTTAATGGAGAAAATCTGGAAGATGTGAAATCTTTCACCAAAAAGAATTCTAAGAAGTGTGGTGATACAATTAAATAACCATGCTGATTCGTATCACCACACAATACGTGGATTCATGTTACCAAAAGTAATAACCTATAAAGACTTAGGAGTCATAATAAGCAGAGACCTCAAAACCACGATAAATTGTAAGGCTACTGCTGCAAAAGGCTACAGGGTTTTATGGGCTATTTGTAACTTCTTTCAGTATTTGGGTGAAGAAATGTATAGATTATTATGCCCGACTTTCGTGAAACCGCATTTGGAATATTGAATTCAAGCAGAGAGACTTGTTTCAAGTATGAGATTGATGTGCTGGAACGAGTCTGTCGAAGAGGGGCTAAAATGGTAGGAGGTCTCTCTGGCCTACTTTATGAAGACAGACTAAGACACCTTAACTTACTTCCGTTATCTTACCGTAGAATTCGGGGTGATCTAACATTGACTTATCATATACTAAACGATGACCTTGGTATTAATGTCTTATCTTTTCCTTACATCTAGGACTGATCATGTGAGAGGATATTCTAAGAAAGTTCAGAAACCGAAATCAAATCGCCTAGGTCTGGAATGTCACTTCTCTCAACGAGTAGTGAATTATTGGAATTTTCTACTGGGACACGTAATATAAGCACCTTCTGTTGATATATTCAAAACGAGACTGGACGCCCACAGTGTTTCGAACTGCAAGGATTGATGTAGGTCGATGGGACTCCTATCTTTATTAGTGAAGACTGAATTAATCCCTAGAAATTACTTTTCTATTCACATCAATGTTGTTGACAGTTGGTCAGCTTACTTTCACTTAGACAACTCTGTTTCTGCTATTAGCCCTAAAAAAGTGCATGCCTCGATTTATCATTGCCCTTTCAAAAACTAATTAATTTACTACAGTTCGTACTGGCTTAACTGTTTTACATGGATTACACATACACACACTGCACTTCTGATGCTACATACCCGAGCTTCCAATTTTGGGGAAATTTAGGGAAACTCCCGAAGTCAAATGACCTTCACCAATGTCTGGGGACCTTTGGGGAAATTTTGGGGAATTCTGCGAAAAGTTTGGGTTTTGGGTCTCATTTCCCCAAAATTATCTATAGCGGCTTCCCCAAAATTGGCAGCTTGGATAGGAAGCCACAAAACGAACGCTATGTATTGATAAAGGTACCCTGAAGTCAGGTGATAGTGAATCAGACAAGCTCCGTGAAGTTAATATACATTGACTCATCATAAGATTTTGAGTAGACAGTTCGGCGCATATTTAGGCGAAAAATAGGCCACGATGAGAAAACAAGCCTTTAGAAAACCAGGATATCACATAAAAATTACAGTAGTTGAGAATAAAATTCTACAAAAAAGGATCATGCGATTTCCATGAAACTGCTCTTACCCTGATATTGTAAACTGTCTGCAGAAAAAAACTACACGTTTCTATCATACTGTAAAACGCGGGGCTGCGGATCTTAGGCAGTTATTATTTAAAACAACTGGATGAATTGTCTGACTACAATGAGAATAAACACATGCCAAAAATGTCTGAGCTAATGTAACATCGAACTCTGAGTATATTAGTGTCTATTCTGTAGGTAGATCCCGCGCTACTATGTGTATGCTAGTAGTATGGCAGAACGAGTACATCGAAGTTTGAGATACCGTAACAGACAGTCAACTCTTCACTCATCGTACTAGGAATATGTGATCTAGATAAAGCTAACGCTAGATTGACTATAACTGAACTATATTATAACACAACTATTTGAGGTTATGAATGACTGGTGGGTGCTCGACATGGGCTTCTGGTTAACCTCAATAAAATCTATCTGACACTTAAGGAGACTGTGAGTTAAATAGCAAGCAAAGTCTAGCCATTTTCCTAAATTTGTTACGAACATCGCCGTAAAAGCTGCAGAGCTCCAGGATATACTTGCAGGATTATCAAGCTTAGCCAAATAAACGGGTTTCTAACAAATGTTAAAAGGAACTCTATACCATTAAAACTGAAGACACTCCTGTGTTCACAACACCCAAGAGATCCGCCCCTGATGAACTTGAAAAAAATTAGCTACATCTTGCAGTTCATCATTATCCGTTCATTTGACAGCCAATAGACATCATTTCTACACACGGTGACGAAGAAAATTTTTCATTAGTGTGACTGGAAGCATAGTGGAGACTACAGAACTCTCAATCTTCAAAGTGTGCCAAATGGCTACTGGTTTGCTACTTAGTACCACACATACAAGATTTCGCAAGAAGTCAGCAAAATATGATCATATTTACTAAAATCCAATAATCCAGGGGATATTACAGTATACCAATGACTACGGGAGACATTCGTGTGAGTGCTATCCTAAGAAGCGTTTGAGTTTGAGAGGATGTAGAATTATGGTCTACTATGATATTAGTACTGCTCTAATAATAGACCTAATCCTAAATTTCTAGATTTGTCATGATATAACTGCCTAATCCATAAGATCTTACATGGAAGTCACACCATCGACTACACCAACTCACTGTATCGTATCAATTACCAATACATGATGTAGAACAAGGTTAGGCTGGAGAAAGAACAATATATTTGATATGAATAGAAGATATAAGGTAACATTCAGAGGGACCACGCCTGCATGGCCTAGCCATGCCACTCGACCAACTCCAGTCCATTCAATTCATTGTTCGTGCCTTCTCCATCGTTAGGTATTTCTCCGCGTTAAATATTGAATATCTATTTTCTGAGTAGTCTCGTGTTCACAGCTTTGAGGATTGTGTGGCTATTGTCCAATGCCACTACACTACTCTCCCACCAGAATCAATGTGATGTTGGTTCGATACCAAACTGGATGGGATCGTCGCGCGCCGGAGGTTACCAAGGATAATGTAGCGGTAAATAAATCCCTAAAATAAATAGCTCTGTAAGTTTTCGACATTGGATGCTGACCATATGTTTTAGTGGACTCATCTAGCTGAAGGCGCTCGGTCAGGCATCCGCACCAGATCACGTGTAGTAACGCCGTGCTCAACATCAACCACAATCGCTAGCCAGATTAGATCAGAGAATCCCGATATATTGGTCATCGCCAAATATACTCTTCCGATCTCCTCGACTCTGTCTTTTGATTTCTCTTGGTGGGAACGAAATACATAAGGTGTTACTGGTAGAAGCGTTGTCAAACACTGAATACCTGTGACATCATCATTGGTGAGACCGTCGTGATCTGGTACACCTTATTGCAACTGTGAGTCTGTTCCTTTTTGGGATTTTTATATATCATTGCCTTATTTTTTATTTTTTTTAAACATTGTGATTTTTTTTCGTGTTTTTCTTGGATATATATATATTTTCCCCTCGTTCATTATCGTACTTCATATTTCATCATGACTGAACAGACACCTAAAGTACTCAAGCTTAAGACCTTGTCCCCACCTTCGTTTCAACTGATGCCTTTCTGGCCCGACAACATCGAAGCCTGGTTTTGCTACGCAGAAGCCGACTTTTCCGAGCACGGCGTGATCGACACACGTGCACAATTCCTCGCAGTAGTCAAGGCACTGCCGCGGGAATTCAACAGGTACGTAACACCTAGTATGTTTACTAGTGATGTTTCCGATCCTTACGAAATCTTAAAACGCTCGATTCTTAAACGAGGAGACCTAACCGATCGACAAAGGTTAGATCAACTCTTCAACAATATCGACCTGCAACACGGTTCTGCGACGGACATGTTGCAACGGATGAGAGAGGTTATAGGCCCAAGAACTTTCGACGAAGGTCTATTCAAACAACTCTTCTTGTCAAAACTTCCCCAACAGGTGCAAGCAGTTCTGGTCTCGTTCCAGAACAACGCCTTAGACGAACTAGCTGTATCTGCCGACCGCATTCTAGAAATTACGAAACCTTCTACTACCGAGGTATTTTCAGTCAAAGAAAAGCCTCACACGACTCAGAATGACATAACCGACTTATGTCACACACTCACGCGTTATCTTAGTCTTCGTACCGACCGTAAGAGATCGCGCACACCACGTAGAAGCATTTCTCGTAAGCGATCTGTCTCTAGACCACGAGAGACAGATAACCCCGACTGGTGCTGGTATCATAACCAGTATGGAAAGTTTTCCAGAAATTGCAGAAAACCCTGCAATTTTCCCAACACGAAACCGACTGATTCGAAAAACAATTCGGGAAACTTCCAAGCCGGCACGCGTTAACGGCAACCGTAGCCGGCGAACAAAGCCGTCTGTTATTCGTCACAGATGTGACAACGAGAGTTCGCTACCTCGTCGACACTGGCGCAGAAGTTAGCGTTCTCCCAGCAAATCCTAACGACCGACTTCACGAATCGACCCTAAACTTACAGGCGGCAAACGGAAAACCGATCGCTACGTATGGCAAAAGGTACGTTTACCTTAACGTGGGTTTACGCAAACCCATCCACTGGATTTTCGTCGTTGCAGATGTTTCTATGCCAATCATTGGTATGGACCTTCTACAACACCACAATCTGATCATCGACACTCGCAAACGGAGGCTAGTAGACGGAAACACTAATTTGTCCGTTTGCGTAACTTCTTTTACTGGTTGTAGAGTATCCCCAGTCACAGTTAAACATATGATAGACCCACTCTATCAACCACTACTCGATAAGTACCCTGGGATACAACAAACTCAACCGAAACTACCGTGTGTAACCAGCAATGTTACACATCACATCACGACTACAGGACCACCTGTTTTCTCTAAAGCACGACGACTAGCTCCTGAAAAGCTAAGGTTAGCGAAAAACGAATTCGATCACATGATGGACTTAGGAATCATACGACCGTCAAGTAGCCCATATGCATCTCCGTTGCACATGGTCCCTAAAAAGGACAGCAACGATTGGCGTCCAACTGGTGACTATCGGCGATTGAACGCGAAAACCATTCCCGATCGTTACCCGTTGCCTCACATTCACGATTTGACAGCTACCTTGAAAGGTACAACTGTCTTTTCGAAAATCGACTTGGTTAAAGCGTATAACCAAATCCCTATGGCCACTGACGACATACCGAAAACAGCTATCATAACTCCCTTCGGACTCTATGAATTTTTGCGAATGCCTTTCGGTCTAAGGAATGCTGCTCAAACATTCCAAAGATTCATAGAC